TTTTTAGAAAAGGACCGAAATGCATCTATAGTAATAGAATAAAGTGAAATCATTGGCTAAAGCTGTGTGATAGTCTACCGCCAATATTAAAATTTACATTTTAAGTGCGGATTTACAAAGACTTTACAATATATATATAACAGCAGTCATAAGAAATTTAATTAAGTCTTACATCTTATACAAAAAATGACATTACTTATGACTCAATATGTCACTGAATAGTGTGTAAAACTTGCTGCCATATTCAGATTTCTTGATTCCTACTGTTACTTTCCTGGCTGTTATAACCTTATATTGTAAGTATGGCACATTTGATCCTCCAGGTTTTTAGAATCTTGATGTTTGAGACCCCTGAACCCAAAAAAGATGAAAAACTTATACTCAGGATGTGTGGATGTGTGTGTGTGTGTTATGGCATCTATTTCATTTAATATCTCAACATGAAGTAAACATTAAGAAACAAAACTTGAAGTCAAGGTAACTTGTATATAAGGGACATTAATGATATTAAATTTTGGTGGTTAAAGGTAAAGAGGGTTACATCATGTCTCAAATGTGGTCAGACTTAACTTAAATTTTACTCATTATTGGCATTTACAATATTTTTAAAAACAAATCTACTCTCAAAATTAAGCCTTTGCCATTTTATAATAATTAATAATATAAAACTTATCTATATATATGTTATGGACAAAGTGATTAATACGGGCATTATGAATAATGACCAACAAAATCGGGCATTGTAATAAATTTCAATAATTTATCAAATTGACCAGTCATTATGAATACTGCTACCACCTAGTCGGGCAAAGTGATAATAATACATTAAGGAGTGATCATCCGGCATACGTTAGCCAATCAGAACTTACATCTTACTTGCTCACGCGTATTGCATTTAGTACCGAACTTTAAATTTAAATTTGTGTGACCAGTAGTTAATCTTTCTTCTTTGACAAAAGTAACGATCATGAAAGAATCATTAAGTGATATGAATAATCGCTTCAACAACCGATTAAACGAGTTAAAAACCAAAAGGGCTGAAGAAGTAGCATATGGTCTTTTAGATATTTTTACAATTTTCGGTGCACCAAGTATTCTACAAAGCAATAATGGCAGAGAATTCGCCAATAATGTCATCAAACAAATGTGTAATATGCGGTCCGAGTTAAAAATGGTGCATGGAAAGCCCAGGCACTCACAAAGTCAGGGTTCAGTAGAAAGATGTAATCAAGACGTAGAAAATATGCTTAGTTCTTGGTTGGAGATTAACAATACTAACAAATGGTCGGAAGGATTACTTTTTGTACTACTGATGAAAAATCGAGCGCATCATACTGGTATAAACTACAGCTCCTATGAGGACATGTTTGGAGCAAAGTTAAAAGTTGGACTAAAGAATTTTATACCCAACGAATCGTTGTTCAACGCTAATACGGAAGAGGATCTACAGAGACATTTTAAAACTATCAACGAAGTAAGTCAAAGTTGCTCAAACTCTGAAAGTCCGGGTACCGTCCAAGAAAACATTATGAACAACATGAAATATTATCTGATAATGCCACCCTCACATAGCAATATAACTGATGAAGTTCAAAGATCTACATCGTCTTCACGTGAAAAAATCTAAACCAGGATGTTATTCGTATTACAGAATTGGTGAATAAAGAAGAAACAATCCAAACAATTGATCCAAAAAAAGAAGAAAAAATAAGAAGTGTGTCTAAAACAAGGGCTTTGTTTAATCTTAAAAAGCAAGCAGAAAAAAATTATTAATACATCAAATTCCAAATACACAGCAGCTATTGTTGGTGATACAGTAAGGATTCGTGTACCTGATGAAGATCAAGCCCGCAGTGATGGAAAAAATTTTTAGGTGTCGTTGTTGCGGTTAAATTGCGGTACCAAACATGGCATATTAAATCTATTATATTCCAGAAACCAATTTACTGTTTGTAAAGAAAACTTTATTTCTGTTGGAGATGTACCGGGTGCAGAAATTTCGCTTAGAGAATGTGCAAGAATGTCATCAATTCCTGATGGCCACAACTATAGTTAATGCTGCTGAAAAATTGGTTGAAAATCTAATAGATGCAAATGCTACCAAA